TATATATATATATATATATATATATATATACATACACACACACACACACACACACACACACACACAACATACATACATACTGTATATATCTTACTGACCCCCAAATTTTCAAACATTAGTGTATTTAAAAAAAAACTAAACCCAATTGCTTTCACTTACTATCTATGTGAGGATACCAGAAATGGGACTTTTTTATATAAAAGACTAGTTACACGAAGCTGCAAACTCTACATTAGCTATGCAAAACCAGTAGCTCCTCCGCAAAAACATAAATGCTTTACATAGACATTAAGTTGCAAACAACCCGGAATGTTCCTTTAACCAAACCAGATGCAGAAATCGACACACAAAACACAATGCATCAGAACTTCAGCGCAAGTTTTGCGATTCACTGTTTTAGACGATAAACATTGCTCTGTTTGGCACACACCTGCACCGTCATTGCAAACACCCAGTTTAAACAGACGCATAGCTTACACACGTATGCAGTAGTTGCCACTACAGAAGGAGCATTAGAGGAAAATGTGGGGAAGTGGGGTAATCGTAAGCCCCCGGAGCCAACATGGGGCACAAGAGAGCGTTCAGAAAAATCATGTTGGCGCATGCAAGGCCAAACATTAAAACAGAGTGCCGGGTGAGAGGGAGAGAGAAGAGGAGGAGGAAGGTGAGGGGAGAAAGAGTGAAAGTGGGAAAGTGGACACCAGGAAGTGAAAAGGAAACGGTGAACAGAAGTGTCAGATTTTTCCCAACCTGTGGTGTCGGGCCTGCAGGGGAGATGCCATAGCTTCCCTGCTTGTCTCTGCTGAACACATGCTTCCATAAGATGACGTCAAGCACGACGGTCTATAGAATATCGCAGTAGGGCGGAAAGAATGAAGAGAGCTACGGATCACATGGCTAGCAAAAGATTTATGGTCATCATTTGTTTCTGCTTTTTCATTGTCAAGAGCAAAACTAAATACATTTCTTGAAAGGGCAGTGATTCTTTTGGATTGTGTGTTAAAGAAAAACAGAGAAGGAGAGAGAATTATGTTATTCTGCACTAAAAGTCATCAGTTCATTGGCAATGAACATACAGCGAGATCACAGGATCGGGTCCCAATGATTGGCTGCTGCGGTCTAGTGTTCTACTGATTGACAGGTGAGAGAGAACGGCTGAAAAGGGGTGTGATCTGTAGTTAGCACCAGGAAGTAGTCCGATCTAAAAGGTGAAGCAAACAGCCACTATGCCACTATGATGATTGCTGGCATTTCTTAATCAGGGTGAGGAGCTTTCACCCAAAGAGAACAAGAATAATTTGACCCTTTATTTGGGATTCAGAGCCAGAAGGAGCTGCTGATGGAATCACACGCTGTACAGTGCAAAATATAAATGCTGTTTCCTTATCCTGTGGATCAGCCTCAACAGAGCGGAATTTTCTTCTGTATAGGGATGGGAATCGTAAGAAATTTTGGCTCCTGAATTTCATAAACGATTCTTTTAGTTACTGATCTTAATATTGTTATACTATCTTTTGTGTGTGTGTGTGTGTGTGTGTGTGTGTATATATATATACACATATACACATACACACACATATGCAAATAATTAAAACTATAAAAAAGAGACACTTTATTACAATGATGTTCAGATGTCAATTCAATAATTACGTCAAATAATTGCCTTTTTAGGCTAATGAGTTTGAGACACATTTTGTCCTGAATTGATGGAAAAATCATTCCTAAAAAATCATTAGATTCAAGTTGTGTATATATAAAACCTGTGTATATATGTATATACAGTACTTGGAACCAAAAAAATTTTTATATGCTCTATTGTTATATATATATATATATATATACACACACACACACATTTAAAAATGGAACTGGTTCGGAATAAGAACCAGCTTTTGATTCCCAACCCTATTTTCATGTATTTCTGTAGGAGTGTATATCCCCATCAACTACACTTGAGGGTTTTAATTGGGTTACAGCAAGAGCATTGTGTTATGACCCTGGCTGAAGGGTCCACTACATCTGACAGTCACATCCTGTAAGAAAAAGCATCATCCATAATATAGCACTGTACTTTCCCAAATATATATGAGCTAGTGTAGCAATACAATTACATAATTTAAAGGGTTAGTTCACCCAAAAAATAAAATTAGGCTGTGTTTTACTCACCCCAGAGGCATCCTAGGTGTATATGACTTTCTTCTTTCAGATCCGGAGGGTGAACAAAGGACTCCTGTAGTGAATCGATGCATTTTTGTAAGAAAAATAATCATATTTATAACATAAGAATCAATTTAATCTAGCTTGCACTCACTGTTGTAAACGGAAGCAGCTCCGGGCGGATGACGTAGGACGTCAGAGTCACTTCTTTTGGACTGAAGCACTGCAACACCCGCTGACTGCAATGATAGAGCTTGGAATAGCCAGGACAATTTTTAATAAAACTCCGACTGGATTCGTCTGAAAGAAGAAAGTCATATACACCTAGGATGCCTTGGGGGTGAGTAAAACACAGCCTAATTTTCATTTTTGGGTGAACCAACCCTTTAATTCCCCAACCTTGAATTTAACAAAAAATAACATATTGAAATGCAGTTTATTTTCATATGTGAATATCCATAACAAGTAATGTGGCTGATGTAACAGTCTGACGTCCCTACTTACCTCGATAAAGACAGACACTACGGTGTTGCCCAGCACGATGAGCACCACAGACACACGCCAGCTCAAAGGAACACATACGAGCTGAGGAGAATGTAGACAATGTAATTAACAACTTAAACAAAACATACACTATCATTCAAAGGTCAGTTAGAGTAACATCAAGCAAATCAGCATATTGATTTCTGAAGGATCATGTGACACTGAATACTGGAATAATGGCTGAAGAAAATTGCCATCACAGGAATAAATTATATTTTAAAATATATTAAAATAGAAACATTGTAATACTGTTACTGTAATTACTGTTTTAACTATTTATTTCATATTGTACATGCAGCCTTAGTGAGCATAAGAGAATTCTTTCAAATACATTAAAATCGTATAAACCTTTGTTAAAACATTTGAACGGTAGTGTATGTCTAGGTTTTTATAAGGGCATGTGTGATAATTACTCAAACCATAGGCCATATATTAAAATAGGCATGGGCCGATTACTGGTTTCAAGGTATACCGCGATTTGAAAATTTCACGGTTTCAAAATAATATTTTGAAATATATATTTTGAATATATAAAATAAATAAGAAAAATAAGCAATAAGAAAATATAATATTTTGAGTAGCTAATATTTTCCGTTATACCGTTCCTGCTGTATGCGCTGTTTTTCATGTCTCCTCAAAGACTGAAAGTGTAGGAATCCCTCCGGTTGAGTGCAGTGTAGAGAGTAACACGACCCTCCTCCTCCTGTTGGTGCGAGTGATGGGTTATTAAATCAAATTATGTATATGAAATTATATAACTAAATTATATGAAATGATATAAATATGTATATGAATTATATAACTAAAATTAAATAACTGTAACTACAGATTTAGGTTAAATAAAGATGTCAGTCTTTATTTTTCTTCTTTTTAGGAAACAAATCAAAGAACAAATAAACAAATTCTATTGTTCCTAATATTCTGTATTTTGCTCAAAAACAAAATATATTGTGTTCAGTGGAAAAAAGTTTTATTTTTTTTACCCAGTCATTTAAAAATAACACATTTTAGAGCTGTAACGACAATACCGTGATATTTTTTGCTTAAGGTTATCATACCGTCAAAATCTCATACCGGCCCATGCCTATATTAAAATAATCAATCATTACGAAACAAACGTACCTCTAAAAATTGATCGATTTCAGCAATAGGGAAAAACATTATGAAAAACAGGAAAACGATGAGAATTAAAGCAGAGAGGACAAATGGCCCTGAAAGAGAAAATAAATAAATAAATAAAACAGACAACCAGAAACACAATCAATGAAGAGTAACTGAAAACTAAATTTGCATTTCCCATATTTTCAAGACAATGTCACACAAAGATCTAACAATTTAGTTTCAATAAGCAAATATGTCTCTAAATTAACTGCACAAAAATATCAGGATGTAAATATTAAAATAAAATTATCAGCAGAGAGAGATAGCAAACATTATATCTATATAACATTTCATGGGAAATTTTCAAAATGCACTCTTAAATTTCTTTGAAATTTCATATGCATTAAATTGAGAGAAAAAGAATATAGAAAAGTGTGAGGGATTTTAAAATATTGCTGCTTTGTGAGTTGTTTGTCAATGCACTGCGAATGCATCAAGTTAAAAAAAGGTTCATCCTTACAATTCTTGTAGCTGGGCTGGCGGAAAGGTTTTCCTTTGGAGAAAACAATGGCAACAATGAGGTACTGAAAAGAGGAGACGAAGAAGAGTGTGGTATTCACATCATTCATGATTCTTTCTTCAGTCTGTTCTTCAGTGGAGTTAGTGAAGTCATCCATGTGATGGGGAACAGAGCAGTTGTAGAAACTGTGAATTATAGAAGAAAAAAAAATGACCAGAGCTGAAGTAAGATTATAAGATTCATTTTTAAATAAGGTTAAGTTTGAAAACAATATGAACACAGTTTAAGTGTTGCAGTACCACTAATGACCTGGAGAGAGCAGCGCACTGTAACTCACTCTGGCTTGGAGTACCAGTCCAAATTTTGAATCAAGAGGAAGGCCATGATCTGGAAACCCAGGCAAATTAAAACCTGGGTCAGAACTGAGAAGAGGAGAGGACCTGAGACGAGACCAGAGGGAGGTCTTTGGGCGACAAGCTCCTTCCATGCGGAGTTCAAACTCACTAGGAGTGAGTGGGAAAGCAAATCAGAGAAATTATACAAAATAATCAATCATTTACTTACAAACCAATAATGTACCTCAGTTTTCATGAGCTAAAACTCTTTATGTTAAATCTTAATGTTTATTAACAACATGAAATCACAAATCTTATTGTGCATGATCTAGTGCACATTATTCTAAAGAAAAGTTTTGCAGCCATAAAATACAACAGGCACCCCTGAGATCAATCGGAGCTCAACAAGATGATCATACTCACTGGTGAAGACAATTAGAAGAATGATGGCCAAGTCAATGAAGAGAAACTGAAAGTCACCCAAGTTACTGCCAATCTGAAATGCATTATTAATGGATCAGGTTTGTATAAGCAATCTCAGCATGAACTAATGATCTTCTGTTACTCACAAGCACAGAAAGATGTATAATAACGTCTCCGGTTACATACCTAACCTCGATTCCCTGAAAGCAGGGAACGAGACATTGTGAAGCTCATGCTATGGGGTTATCCCACTCCTTTCTTAAATACTGAAGCCTGATTGAATCGCACTGGTAAACCTTACCGGCTAGGGGTGGAGCCACCCACTATATAGGTCGGCTGAATCTTTCCCTCAGAGTCTTATATACCTGTTCGAACAGTCAAAACTCGCTGAGGAATTTTAACCAAAAAATGTTATAGACATTTCAGAAATACCCTAAAGAAACGTGAAAACTTGTGTGAAATGGGCATCCGATGTCACCTTTAAGGCGTAGTCAATGTCAAGAAGTCGTCTAGAAGTCTTCGATGCTTGCTTTGTGAAGAAGAAAGATTCTGAGTTAATGACGCTGGGCGCCGACCTATACAGTGGGTGGCTCCGCCCCTAGCTCGAGTGCTCACACGTCATTGGCAAATAAGATTTACTGGCGCGATGCAATCAGGCTTCAGTATTTGAGGAAGGAGGGGGATATCCCTATAGTGTGAGCTACGCAATGTAGAGAGACCAACTTGATAGGTAACTATAGTAAGTAGTTCAGTAAATGAAAGGGGAACTTACAGAATAGAGAAGGGCAACACTGAGGCATTGAATAATACTGTACAGAGCCATGAACTTAAACACACAGAAGGAGGTGATGAGAGCTGCTCTGCCCTCCCTGTGGAGAAACAACACGTGCGAGACTCTCAGCAAACAGGACATTTTGTGCAAAGAACATTTGTCATTGGGAAACACTGTCTACAATGTGTAAGGCCAAAACAAGCACCCTCATGAACTCCAAATGATTTATTTTCAAAACATTCGATTTGAGGCGCATCAGCATCATTTACACTAACACAGCATCCTAACCAGTTTCCACAGAAACTAAGCAGTCAACAAAATGTCCTGTCTCTCAATGTGGTTCCTTAAGAGAAAAACTCTGATTACTCACACTATTAAGTTTATCAGCCCCAAAACAATCATAATTTGTTAGTATGATGATTTTCTACTCTTTTTTTTTTCTTTTTTTTTTTCTGGCCCTTAGAATTAAACAGGCTGTGTTTGCTATCCTAATCCTGCTTCAACCTTATTACTTTCAAGGGATGGGCTCAAAAAATTAAAAGAAATACAAAAATATTTAAATATTTATTATTTAATAGTTGTATTTAAAAAAAATATTAAATATATATCAATATGACTATATAACAACAATAACAACAGAATTATTAGTTTTATTACAAAATAAAAAAAAATATATTAAACATAAGAAATATTACTACTGTTATATTCCACTCTAAAATCAAATCAATCAAGTATTTGAGAAAAATAATTGTGCAGTAAACTAAAACAGCCATAAATATTAGTGTTGTAATTTTAATTTCTTCATTTTCAAACATTAAACATCAAGCTTTAATTTAAAAAAATAATAATAATACAAATAATTTTAATAGAAACGTTCATGTGGGCCAGTATTTATTGTGAATTTATTTACCATGCAGCCTTTGCCAAAGGCATTGTAAACATGGGATGTGAAAAACATTCACAAGAAAATTTGACTTCTCTTGATATGATGCCTTTAAAACAGAGCTGTGCCGTGGTGCATTTAGGACACCTGATCAGGTTGGGCACGCAGGTGATGCTGGGAGTTGTGGAGGTGAAGGGAGAAGCCACTGAAGCCTCCAGCTCTGACAAGGAGATCCCAGCATGAGCTCTCTTCAGTGCCTGAGGACGAAATAGACAGACATCATCAGCTACAAAAGACACTTTTAGAACATCTGATAAGCATAAAAGACACAAATAACCCTTGAAAACACTTTAAAACAGATTATAAAGACCCTCACCCCACAGTCATTTGCTCCATCTCCACACATTCCTACAAAATAGCTGCAGAAGAGAGGAAAAAAAGGTTTGCAAGGTTTTTACTTTTTCTTATGAAAATGTGAGTGGTACTTTGCAAAACGTATGCACAACTAATTACTAATCTAAACAGATGATGAGCTCTCATGGAGTGTATTCGATACTCACTCTACACTTTCTAATGTCTCAACAAGCTGAGTCTTCTGGTCAGGCGCCATCCTTGCAAATACTGTTCCATGAAGCACCAGCTACACCAACAACCATAAAAACACCATAAACACCAAACATAACACAACCCATGTATGTACAAGTATAGTTTTAAAAATTGCCGACCTTCTGTAGCAAGTCCTGGAAATGCTCAATAATTACAGAAAAAGATTTGCCGCTCATGGCAAAGTGATACTGCTCCTGAATTCTCATCTCATCCACAGAATGTCCATCTTCCATAATAATATCCATCTCCTGCCATCAGAGAACACAAGTACAGAGATGCTAAAGATAATGCTTTTTCCTTTATCAATAACATTTATGGTGCTGAATACCATAGATTAATGCATATTGTATGGCCTTGTGTAATTCCATTGTAAGTGTCCTACTGCAACAGTAATTTTGATAAAGGTATTTGAAAGCATGTCAACATGCCACAAATACAGTACTGGTGATTGGTCTCAAACCATATTAACCTAGAACATTAATTTCCACAAAACCACAGTGACAGGGTCTGGCCAGTAGATGGCACACTGACCTCTAGTTTGGTGGGCTTGTTCAAGTGTTTGCTGGGTTTGTCGGCGTAGTGCCAGTTGATCTTGGCAGTCTGGCCGTCTTTAGGGGGCAGAGCGTCGGCAATAATGACTCGGTCTTGCGGCTGAATCATGCTGCAGTCTCGTGCCACAGAGATGGCCGTCAGCATGTTGTCACCTACACAAGAGACAGAGAGGAAAAGATGACGAAAACAAAAACAACAACCCTTACAAAAACACATGCTTTGATAGTCATTTTTAAATATCATTCAGAGACTTTTGGACCATCTAATATACTGGTATAAAGATACTTTTTTTTTTTCATCAGGGGACAGAGATGATGGCTGGTATGTGGCAATGACCCAGCATTCCTCATGATTGTAAGAGTGGGTCATGTACAAACTCAATCTGCTTAAGTTTACAATGCTGCATTCAGCCTCGTCTCAACTTTGGAGCACTTGGCTGGTAAACTGGAGAGCTGAGAACCTTATTAGATGAGATTCCAGGAATACCTAATGAATTAAGCTTCAAAGCTCCCAGACTCCCGTCTGCCTGCGGCTGGTCACCCTAAACTCACCCTAAACCTTCCATCTTTAAACAACATGGGCATATTCAACTCCTGATAAGCTAACCAGGTAAAGAAATCCAAATAAGGTAAGCAGTGAATAACTGAACCAGGATTGTTGGACAGGAAAACCTACAGAACTATAGGCAGCAGATGTAATATACTACTGCTCAAAAGTCTGGGGTCAGTAAGAATTTTTTAAAGAAATGTATACTTCTATTCAGCAAGGAGACATTAAATTGATTAAAAGTGACATTCATCAAATAAATAAATAAAATCACACAGCCAAATCAGCATATTAGAATGATTTCTGAAGGATCATGTGACAAGAATAATGGAGTAATGAATGACTGCTGAAAATTTAGCTTTGCCATCACAGAAATAAACTACAATTTAAAATATATTAAAATTGAAAAGTTCTTTAAACTTTTATATTATTTCACAATATTGCTGTTTTGACTGTACTTTTGATCAAATAAACAGTCTTGATGAGCAAGAAAGACTTTTGAACTGTAGTGTAAACTCAAAGTATATGAATAGCCATGTTCTAAAATGTCAAATTGACCGTTTAAAAAGAAACCTCAGGAACTATATTAAACTCTCAGGTTTTCTGAAATGACACAGTCATGTTTTCTGTACCTGTGACCATAACGGTTCGTATGTTGGCATGTCGTAGATCTTCCAGCACACCTGGAGTTTCCGTTTTCAGCTTGTTCTGCATGATGATCAAACCCAGAAAATCCATATTTTTCTCAATTTGATCCCTGTAGAGGAAGAGAAACCGAATATAGTGTGACATTAAACCAGAGCACAACATGATAAAAGTTACAGCATAACATTGTAAATTATTTTGTAAAAGTGCCAGTAAAAAGTTTAGCGGAGTTTAAACTTTACCGGTTAATGTTCTGCACTTTGTGAAATGTAAGTTTGGATTCCAGCCGTCTGTGTGCCAGCGCAATGACCCGGAAGCCCTGTTTGGTGTAGTCCTCCAGAACCTCTGCGAAATCCTCTGGTACTGTGGTGCATTGTGAAAAAAAAAAAAAAAAGCAATATCAATCCAACAATGATTTAAAACTCAAAAACGATTTGATATTTATAACAGACGGATCTTTCACTGACCTGTTTCTTTCTTACACAGGCTTGCCACAACCTCTGGTGCCCCTTTCAGATATGCGTCCATACGTCTCTCTCCAATCTGACGGACAACCACGCTCATTCTCTGCAGAGCGGAGGAGAAGGAAAACTGCCGCACAATACCGATCATATATGATGCCTGCAACCCGAAAAACAATAGACAACAGTATGTAAACACCCATATATGTCTATAACAAAATACATCAAATACAGCCACTGTACATACCGAGAGCTCATAGAGTTCAGACAGTTCCTGGGAAGAAACCGCAAGATATTAGAACAATGTTTTAAATACAAATAATTTAGATTATAATAAGCAGAGAAATGCTCACCATGTCCTGTTCAGGTGATATTACAGATGGCGGCAGAAGCTGATTGGGTGGTTTTACATAAGTGAGTTCAATGCGGTCATGGTGAGCCGTCTCCTCTTCTGTAGCTTCCACCAATATCTGAAGAGCACAGACAGACAGCAACACCAAAATAAATCAAAACAAGTACAACTTGTTCCAAAACTTGAATGAGATTATTTAAAACTGTTCTCCAGTCACAGCAGACACTGACCCAGCCTGTGGCCTCAAACATCTTGAGGTCTAGTGGATCTCCAGAAAGCTGACCCTCAATCTTGGTGAGTGAGTGACAGGTGGCCATGCAGGACACAAACTTGGTAGTAACCAAGCTCTTATCGTCGGCTTTTTCTTCTGAATGGTGGAATCTAGAGAAGAGAGATTCTTTGGTCAGAAACGCAAGAAATGCAATGCAGTGCTAATTCAAAAACAACTGAGAATGTTCTTGTTTTTCTATTTTATAAATATGATCATACCTGCCATCTTCTACTCTTTGAATTCCCCACATGTCCAAGCCATCTTCTGTGAGAGTGCCTGTCTGAAATGATGCAGAATAATAAAACATTTTTCAAAAACTACTAAAAGCAAGCCTTAATTGTTTGTATAATATTTATAAAATCTATTTTATTATATTATTATTATTACAATATTAGTACAATTAATATTAATATAATTATTATTATTAGTAGTAGTAGTAGTAATAAAAAGTTTATTAAATAATCAATTTTATTAATGTTATTACCAATAATAGTGATGTTATAATATAATAATAATAAAATAAATAAATATTAAATGAAAAAATAAATATTAAATCATATAAATAGTACATAAAAGATTTAAACTATGTATTACCTAAAAATGTATATAATACTACAACATAATATTAGACAATGAGGTGCTAAAATGTCACAATCTGCCTGAATTAACCCTAGATTTATTAAAAAAAATAATAATTAAATGATCATATGTGTGTGCTGAAGCAAACTCGCTTTTTAAAACACATCCATAATATATGACTCTTGATTAATTTTGGCTTAATTCAGATTTCACCAAAAGAAAATGACTTCAGTTTCCTGTATTTACCTTGTCAAAGCACACCAGGTTCAGCTGTCCACAGATGTTGATTCTTTGTGGGCTGATGGAGAATATCCCGACTTTCCTGAGACGCCGCTGAGCATATACGATGCCCGCTGTCATTGCTGCCGGCAGTGCAGGGGGCACCGTGATAGTAATGATGTCCAGAGACTTGACTATGATTTCCTTTACTGGTTCCTGCAGGATACACATCATACCACTGAGGTGCACATTTTCCACACTGTAATTACTAGATTGATTCATTGAACAGGTCATATTTTCCTAGAATTTACATTTAAAAATCTGCTCAAAGCTACATCCAATATACACAAATTGTTATTTAACCTACATCTAAGTGGGAGCGACGTCACAAAAATGCTGCTGTTCCTTTTAAGACAGTAAAGATGGATAAAAACCTGATTTAGGATTTTCATGACCAAAGAATAGACAAAGACGACGCTGGCAACGGCCACCAGGCACAGCAGGAAGAGGTAGGCGTCCTGGTACAGCTTAAAGTCTGTGGGTTTGGGGTACAGGATAGAGCGGATGAGCTGCCCTTTAGCGGTGCTGAAACCTGGAAAAGTAGTGAAACATAATGGCACTGTAAGCATCTACATTCAAGCTCTTTTACAAAGCCTAGTCAGCTGCCTATGAAGGAAGTATCTTAAAGCATCAGCCAGGCAGCATTATTATGCTGCCTACTAAGGTACCAAACTCTAAGGCAGCATCGGATAAATCCCACAATACATTGCAATACAACTTCAGTGACCAAAAAAGTCACAAAGTAGGAGAAATGTTGCTTAAAAAAGTAGTTGAAGTAGTTCTGGCTTCTAACCTGTTCGGACTACCACGGCTTTGACCATTTCTCCTGTGTAGTAGCGAGTCTGTATGACGTTTGTGCCACAGAACAGCGTATGTCTCTTGTGTTCCTCTGTGCTGTAGATCGCATCTCCATGCCCACCCTTCTTGTCCTGCTGAGGGTTCGGAAGGTCAGTCTTTGTGATTGGAACACTCTCACCTGAATGCAGGAAATGAGAGAAGAGAACAGAAACATTTTCACAAAAATGAGACCTACAGATCTTTATTAATAATAAACAATATGCTCAATATGCTTACTTTTGTCAAATATATTTATATAATACTTTTTTTTTTCTCCATATCTCTCACACTTTCGAGAGTGAATTTTGTTGATGAATATGTACGCCTATTGACAAACCACTGCAGCATGAAAAATGAATCACTTTTTTCACCTGAAAGTGAAAGTTTATGCAAGTAATATTTATGTTGTTTAGAAAGAAAGAAATGTAGAGGTTTCATATATTTGGACTGTTTTTGAGCAATCATGAGTTCAAAGGAATATATGTTTTTCCCCAAATCGCCCCGCTCTAATCAACTTTCATGACATTGCATTTGGAAGCAACCAATCACCTGTGAGCATGCTCTCATTAACAATGCAGGTTCCACAGATGAGCACTGCATCACAGGGCATGATGGTCCCATTGCTGGGGATGACTATGACATCGCCGGGGACCAAGTCTGTGGACAGGGCTTCCTCTGTTTCTGTACAGCAAAAACAGAAGACAGAGAGAAAGAGAGGGTGGAGAAGAGTGAGAGGTGGTATAAAACCAGTCTGTCTCAGCGAATCACTTATTACCCACGCTTCCTTGCACATGAGGCAGAGTGCTGACTCATCGTGACTTTGGCCACTGCGTCAGGCTCCCTGATGCAGGTAATCCAGGCCCGCAGCTGTGCCTGTCATTACAAATATACTTAGAGTGGGGAAAATGCTTTTTCAGTACATCTGAGCCGTACCGTTTTCGCCCCTGCAGACCGTAACTCGAACAGTACTGTGTGCTGCCACCATGTCATGTAGCATTACATATTGCTGTAAAAAAAAAAAGACAAAAAAAAAAGGTTAATCTGAAGCACAAACAAACATTCTCCTGACCAAGCAGAACAGATAATGTAATAGGCATATAAAAATACACACTTTAACTGATAACAGACCTCACTTACACAATCGGAAAATTAGCATCAACTCTAACATTGGATATGCCCCATGACTAACATCTATGCTTGATAACTCCAAAACACAACTCTATACTGGTCTATTAGTAGAAGCAACATGGAATCAAAAAGGTGTTACAATGTTATAGTAAATGTCTTTTTATTATGCATGATTCATCAGTGTTTGCTATTCTAAAACAAGAAAATTCCATTAAAATTAAAAATCTTTTGCTTTGAAAATGACTGATTATTTATTTATAGGGAGACTTTAGTCTTTAATAAAATAGTTTATTATTATTATTAATTGTGATATTTAATTTTTTTATTTATTGTGATATATTTATTATAGCTTATTCATTCATTTTGTATCTTCCTGTCTCATTAATAAAGTAATACTTAAATATTTAATCAAATTAAATTTAAAAAGTATATAGTATACTAAAATAGAGCACAAAATGTATATAGTATGTAAAGTATATAATAAATATGTGGTATATTATACAAAATAGTAAAGAATAATAAAGGCCAAAACTTGAAATGTATTCACTTATATATAGAGGATTTTTTTATTAATAAAGTCATATTAAAATAATATTTAAAATAGTTTATTTACTTAATGGGGAATGTTTGTCTTTAATAAAATAATATTTAAAAAATATTTAATAAAACAACATTTAAAATAGTATAGAATACAAATTTTATGGTATAGTAATAATTATCTTGCATTGTATACAAAATAGAACAGAATTTTAATATTGGTTATATATTGGTTAATAAAGGCCAACATTTTAAAGGTATTTATTTTAATAATATTAACATCAACTTCTTACAAACTAGTCATCCCAAAATTCAAAAATCAAGTTTTGCCCAACATTACTCACCATTTCATTCCACTCAAAATACATCAGTATGGAAATGAAATGTTTTGCGAATGCTGTTTTACTGTTTACCTTTTTAATAGTGTAGAGAGAGGTAGCTATTGATATGACTGACATGATGACTATGGCCATTGCGTAGTAATAGTATTCATCAGTACACCACAGGATAACACTGAAGAGCTGGAAGATGTAGAAAGGATTGAGGACCTGAGAGAAAGAAAGATTGAGACAAGTTTCAGTTCTTTCATTTCAAGTTCCTGAGAAGACACATTCACTACAGCAGAGTCAGCAGTGCTGTGTCATGCTGTTCTCTGGCCGGGGTCAGTTTCACATTTCACTCGTACCTCCTTAATTAGCAGCTTGAAAAGAGAAGGCACTTTCACGTCTATTTCATTCAGTCCAAAAAAAAATCTCCTAAAACAGAGAAAAAGGAAAAAAAATTAAAAATCATATTCAACAAATACACTTTGACCCAAAAAAAGTCAACTTTATTCTTAAATTCGAAAATGACAAATTCAAGCAAAGATTTCACCTGAACTCCTGCTGGTTTTTGTTGAGCCCGGCGCTGTGCTTTGAGTGAACGGATGAGCAGGTCATGCTCAGATCTTCCAGGCCTCTGAAGCACAGCAAAGACAATAGTTTAAAAGATTGTGATGGATCGGCTGCCTCCCCCTAATTATCACCATCACGTCGTTTGCTCCTCCCACCACAGGATTCACAGAGCAGAAATCACACAAACCATCAGATTCATGGACTATAAACAGATATGTTTCCTTACTTCAATACTTCAAAGTTCTGGATGGTGTCGTTCCAAAAGTATTTAGTGCTGTGGAGGGTAAAATAACGTTTCTGTAATACAAAAAAAGAAAGAAAAAGATATTTACCCACTCACCAATGAAGCCTAACTGTATAGTTAGCAAATACTGAAATTTGTGGAAATGCAGAACTATATGGGAAGGATGGGATGGATTTTATGTGTATGATACCGGCACATGCTGGTCCTCTGGATTCCGGGTGATCTTCCCAGGGGCGGAGTCAGAGGGGTTGTGGGCGAGGTCATTTGACTGAGGGGAGGTGGTCTGAGAGACCAGGTTGTCGTAAGGGTCCTTCCCAGGGGCCAGCATTATCCGAACCTTCGCTTGAAACCAGCGCTTGAACTCATCCTATGGACAAACACAAAAACAAATTATACGCAAACACTCACATATATAAAAAAATACATTTTCCATTTCAAATAGGCAATAACTAAAACAACTTGTGATTTTAATGAAAAGAAAAAAAAAGTTGCAGGCAAAATTAGCATTGTAACGAACGGTACACAACCCATCATGTTTGTGTACCATTACACCCCTACATTAAAGAATTCCAAGGTAATATTTAGTTTAAAAAAAGGTGACTTTCACTTTAACAAGTGACTTATTCAATTGCCAGCCATTCACAAATTATCTGCCTCAGCGTTGAGAGTTATCTACCACTGAACAACATGACGTCTGAAGTATTACGCAATTCATAGTTATCTTAAAGACTAAGGCCCAATCCCAATTCTACCCCTTAGCCCTTCCCCTTTCCCCTGCCCCTCCGTTTCGCGCGTTCACGTAAAGGGGTAGGGGTCTCTTGATTCTCTTTTGGTTGGAGGGGTAGGGGTAAGGGGAAGGGCCAGACAGCCCTTCAAACGAAGATTTTTCGGGACCACACTTCAAACGAAGGGGAATGAATTATCTCAGCGTAAACCGGCTTCAGCTGCAACATGGCTGCCCGAGCGAACAAAAAGACACATAAATGTAAGCATTTTTGGCATTAATAAAGATTTCAACGAAAAGTAATCATTTGTTTTATGTTACATTCAATCGTGAGTTCATATTTACGGTCATGTTACTCAAAACAATGTTTGCAAAAAATCGCTAAAGTTTGCTAACGTCATATCATTACTGACTGCACGATAGTGCCACAACATAGGCTATTTTCATGTCTGATCAGGGCGATAATAACCACCATAGATATTGAGGAGGGCTAGTACCCCCAATAATTATAAATCTGGGGAAGGGGTATAAAATAGAATTGGGATTGGGCCTAAGTGTTCTTAAACTCTCCTATATGAAATCAGGCAGAAAGACGTGCACTGATGAAGCAAAAGGTGTCAAACTTCCCGTATAGGCACATAAATTCTGATATTGACATGAAATTAATTTTTACTTTTTGAAATGTACTGTCTGTAGTTTTATTATGCATAAATCTTTAGTGCTAATTTATTTATGTATGTATGCATTGTTTACATGTATTATACAAAATAGTATGGAATTTTAAAATCGGCCATTTATCAGTTAACCGCCAAAATGTGAAAATTAATTATCGATTATTCCTGAATATCTAAGCATACCCAGATACTATAAAGATACAAAAGACATGCTAATGTGAGGTGTAAGAGAGCCCAAAAAGTTTAATTGAGGTTTCATACATACAGTGCTTCGTAAGAGGGTGACTTCTGCATCTCTGACAGCGGACCGTGTGCAGGTGGCCTTCACACACCATTCAGGCATCCAATAGAGCAGCAGGAAGAGAAAACCGCCTGTACATAGACCACCCAAACCCATCAGAACCAGCTTCCATCGGCACAGCCGATACCCGCTCAGCTCCTGGACAGAAAGAAAATGAGCTCATGTACTTTATAAGAGGAAAAAAAAAAAAAGCAGCAAAAATCAGAAGGAGAAACATATACCATCTCATCCTCCAAACCTCTGTTGACAATCTTCAGATCTTCATTCTCCATCCTGATCTTTAGTCCTGCCTGGAAAACTACTGCTCTCCTGCACACACATGCAGAGATCACATGCTAAGTGTGTGTGTGTGGTACAGTAAGGATTGTGTGAGGCCCAACAATAGCTGTTATACCATTGGATTGTATTGACAACTACCTGACCTCAGATGACACATAATCACGTGCACAAGTAAACACAAACACTTCCTCTGAGTCACGATCCTGAGCGCTACAGCTGAGAGCCACGCTGAGCATTCTCAGACACATATGAGAGCCAGACAACAGCTGGCTAACCAGTGAGCCAGGCTGACAATCAAACACATGATTAAAAAAGATGCATTTCTATACAGAAAGAGAGATTTATTTACACATGGGGTTCAAAATGAATTTTTACCTACCAACGGTGGGTGAATTGATAAAATTTACCAGTCATAAACATTTCCTATAATCTTATGGGTTTCATATTAGATTTTTATTAGGTCCTTTTAAGCATCTATTATTTATTTAAAAACATATTTTTGGGATTGTGGGGTTATTTAGGTATTTTTTCATAATGAATATATATCAGCAAAGGCTGTAATCATGGTGAAATAAAATAAAAATAATAAATAAATAAAAAAAATACAATAAATTAAATGGCTTAATGTGAGAATAATTCCAAAAAATAATAATAAAAATAATAAAATAATTAACATGAGACAGGCATCCTAGAATATTTATCTAGATTATAGTTCGAAGACATCCGAGTTATGTTTTCAGCAAACTTTGAAACTGAACTGCTAGTCTGCTCCCATCACTTACATCAGAAGAGTCAAACTATCATTCTTACAATTCAAATTCAACTATAATAAAGTTATAATCCAAGACTATTTGCTTTTTATTCTCATTTGGTCTGGCTGGCTGTTCATTTTGGACCTTGGATGCAAACATTGATGAGAGAGATTAATGGTTAAATATTTCATGACTGTGCAAGTGCAGTTGTCCTGAAGATTGACAGGAATGTACAGAGAGCTTTGTGTATGCGTGTGCAACCAAAGCTCTCTGCAGAGGAAAGAGTAGGGGATCGGAGAAAAACACTGGGCTCAATCATTCAAAAGGCTCTTTCCAGCTCTCATAATCATTAGACAAACTGGCACAATCTGTCATTATCTCTACAAACCACCAGCTGAACAAAGTCTAAGCCATAAATAATGGCTTTTCCCTCCCTGTGTTATAAAAGTATTTAATCACAATTTACAACATTTACACAACTAATTCACGATTATCTTGATTTTTGTAAGGGTGAATCTAATGAGGTTTGTCAAGCTTGTCAACCTAAAATAAAAATAAATTTTTTTTTCATAAAGTCTGTTTTAGCATAACATTATTTTCAGAACAATTAAGAACATTAACACCGCCCCCAATTCTCAATACAAAATTGTGGGGGGGGGGACTCATTACCGTAATGCAGCTCATTGCGCCCTCCTGTGGCCTCGGGAGACAAGACAAAAGTTTCCTTAAAACCTATTTAATCTGCATATAAAACATTAGAAATTAGATATGTTTTTATTGTGTGTTTGACTGTTAAAACAAAAAAATATTTGTTGTTTGTCTCAATAAATTGGGTTCATTTAAAAATACAGTGGTTAAATAAAAAAAAAATAATTATATTGCTCTTTTTAAAAAAGGTTATAAAAAATTTCAATAATTATCGATACCGAACGATATGAAACATTATATCATTGATAATTTTTTTAGCTATATCGCCCAGCCCTACTAGGGATGCAACATTAAAGTTGTGATGAAACGGAAGTAGTGACAAATCTTTCTTCGGTATTGTGAGTGTAACAGATTTACGAAAAAGAAAAGTTGTGTGGCATGGACTCATGGTTCTATTCATCGGATGTTGATTGACTTTTTGAGATATATGAGAAATAAAGAAAAATAAAAACAATATGGTTAAAAATTATAATTCAAATTAAAAACAACATATGAATGGATAAATGGTTTGCAATAAGATAAATAACATGTATTTCCAAAATATTAATTTCATGCTGACTTTAAAATTCTACCAATAATTGTTTTCATGTAATGTAATTATTTTAAAGTGGCTGTTGACAAATAAATGGCTTAAAATAAATTTTAATTTAATAATAAAAAAAAAATAAAAACGTACAGATTACAGATATATGATGCACCGTAATTCATTTAATAAATAAATAAATACAAAACAAACAAACCACCAGAATTAGAGAAAACTCAAAAACTCGAGGCAGGACATTTTAAATAAATGTAACTTATGGAAAAATTATTGTATTAACTTAATTAAAATTGGTCTGTGCTTCCATCAAACATAATGTAAGTTCTATCACAAAAATAAAGTGTTTTTCTTTTTCTTTTTGTATTTAAGTTAAGTTTAGCTGAGCATTAACATACATAATTTATGTAACATTACATAATAGTGATGCAGAACTTTCTTAGTTTGTCTAACTTGTGTATCAGTTTGTTGAGCAAACTAAAAAAGGTTATATAGAGCCTGTAGTTGGATCCTCATCACCAAAGATGATATTACAATTTCTAAGTTGCTCATGGTAAATGGCCTAAAAACGTTTTTTTTTTTTAAATGTAAAATCAACTTTTTCCACATTCAATAGTTCAACCAACATTGAAAACAGTTTGTCTGAAAAATGAAAGACCTTTTTTATAGTTCATCCAAATCAATAGTGGTTACATAACAACATAGCTATTAAGGGCCATTTTTTTCTGTTTTGGAATTGAACAGCTCCAGGTTACTATTATATGCTTTTGTTGTATAGGAAAGGAGCAGCAGAGGAGTAATCAAAGGAAGGTGATTTACCTTTCCTTCAGATTCTGGGTGCTGTGGCCCTGGGCAATCCCTTCACCTATAAAGAGGCCTCTTTATTTTACGCTCTCTCACCGAGCTGGACTCCTGAGAGAAAACAAAAGAGGAAATCTTAAAGTCCACAAATCACACAGCCTTCAGTCTTTTAATGGAAGCATTCTGCAGCTCTCTCAAATGAGATGTGTGAGGAACATTTTCAAAGATTTACAGAGCCTTTATAAGCAGCTCACAGTGAGAGAAAACATTAAAGTGACCAGTGGTTCAAAGTTTCCAAAACACTTTCTCAGATTTAAAGGTCGGAACAAAGACACTGAAGAAACAAAATAGAAAAGGGCTCTGCACATTAACAAAACAAACAGTGTCTGGCTGGTATACTGGGAACAATATAATTAAGCCACAACTCACAGCACCACCAACAGTGCAGCATAAAGCCCACATGAAATTTATATCCTGAGTGTGTTACTCAAATCATCCGACTCTGTATTCATACAAAAACTGAATAAAAGTTCAGAGAGTTACCAGGCCATCCTGTGCTATGGGGGTTTGCGCTCCACCACTAAACTTCAACTGATTGGTTGGACATCCTTTACGGACTCTTTAGAAAAGTTTAGACGGTATTTTCTTTTCATCTAGTCTCTGTATAATTCATGTTAAAGCAGTGTTTCAGCGCTTCGCTGCTTTGTTTACAGCGGTAACCAAAGAAACGCTGTATCTGCTGTTCCAGAAGCGCCTCCTGCTGGCAGAGAGTGAATCTGCGTCTCATTCAACTCATCTGCTGTTCTTGTTTCGTTCAGATGTTTTATGTAGCATAATTTCAAAAAGTTAATGTCAGACCATTCTGTTTATGCTTCAAATTTCGAAATTATACAATCTAATTTAGATTAAAACTGCTCATGCAGTATGTATGCAGCATCTTTGTTTGGATTATGATTAAAATCCAGTGGTTGCCTCTAACTGAATGGAAAGAGCACAGGCAAAGCCTTAGTTTGTTTATATGACGAGATTTCTTTTATTTGTGTTGTTTATTTATTTGATTTGGGGTTTGTTTTAAAATTTCATTTCAATTTCACAAAGAAATGTCAGAATTTTGTCCAAACAATAATAAAAAGACATTTTCATTTATAATTTGTCTCAAATCTCATTTTGTTAAAAAAATAAAATAAAAATTGTGAGAAAATTGTATTTTGAGTTGAACTTCGAAAACCAAAGTTGAGTGAATCGTTACATCCCTAAAAATTAAGTATTAATTCTGAGTGTAAATAAAATAAAAAGCTCAAACAAATATGTATTAATTTATTAATTGAATATAAATAAATTAAGCACAAATAAATATTTATTAATTTCAGATGCAAATAAATAAATACGTAAATATTTAAAGAATAAATAAATGATTATTCATTCTGGGCACAAACAAACAAGTAAATCAAGCAAAAATAAAAGTTTATTAATAAATGCATAATGATAAGTATAAATGTATATTTATTAATTCGGAGTGCAATTAAATTAATAAATATTTATTATTTCTAATATAAATAAATATTTAAACCTCATTGTAAAATTTCATTGTTGAACAGGCACTGTCAAAATAAATCCACATGAAACCATAAAAACCCACATTTCTAGACAAAATCCAAATGAACCGAACGCAGATGTGGTTTTAAAAGTTTGACTATTTTTAACTTGACATATTTAAAAAAATAAAATAAAATAAAAAATTATGCTTGTGGCAGAAAACATAAAAAAGAAATGTGTGATGTGACAATATCGATTAAAGGCATCTGTCTGAATGTGTAGCAGCGGTGCTTTAAAAGGACACATTTAAAAAAATCTGATGCAACCATGCAAACTGTCCCAACACTAATTTCATAACGAACTTAAAATCTAGACTGTCAATTGCTGGATGACTAGCCTATTCTCAACAAGAATTGTTGGTAAAAAAATTCAAGTATGACTAGGAACAATCAACTCAGTAGACCTAGCGATTAGTTCTGATAGATGAATTTGAATCTAGTCCATGACACAACCAGTTCTTCCTTTTTTTTTTCCATGCTCAGATTTCTTAATAAAGGTGGAAAATGGTTAAAAATCATTAAAAATGTATTTAAAAAAAAATTAAGATTGGGGGGGGGGGGAAAAGAGAGGTTGGGGGGGGGGGAGAGACAGCATTTCATTCAGAATGCCTCAGGTAAGAGAGTCTGCCAGCTAAATTTCACAAGACCTGTCTGATAAACTCATTCTACAAGCATGGCTTTCTTCGGCTGTCTGACATCCCTGTTGATTGATTTTTTTTTAAAGGGGTCATATGATGCTGCTAAAAAGAACATTATTTTGTGTATTTGGTGTAATTTCTGAGCGCTGCATCTGCTGAGTCAGTATTCTGCAGGTAGCTCGATTTACAGGCAGTTTCACAAGAACGCTCACTGGGCCGTGCATCAAAACAAGCCATTTCAGCAGATAGACGCGGTCAGTCTCGCTTTCCAGAAGTGAAAACACACCCTACCTCACTCAAAGACAACAGCTAACAATATGCAATGACCTACTGACGGCTCTCACGATAATTCATGAAAGCCTTCAGAGGAAAAAGTACTCGGTTGGAGTCACGTTTTGGGTTTAATGTGCTTTCTTCATTCTTTCTCAATCACAGCCTGTTTTGTTTCCCACTGCATTGGGTCACCATCGCTTTGACCTGAACTCAAATCTGAATTCAAAAGGCGTGGAAAATTAGGAGGAAAATTCATATGAATAATGATGGAACAGTCTCATGTCATATTTGCTGATAAGCGGTAAGACAGACGGTAAGGGTTTAATAATTAGATGGCCTGAACAATGGAGTTAACCACTGGGTTAATGTGTCACAATAAAGCTGCGTTTGGTTGCATGATTTAGAATGGAATCATAAAGATAAAACTGAGCAGGAAAAATTGTGAGAAAAAAAAAAAGTTACAAGAACACTAGGCTAAGCTACTAAGCTTCCAGAGAAACAAAATACATTTAAATAAGACTTTAGAAAAAAGCTGGTATGTTGTTGATTTGTTCTACAAAGACTGTAAAAAAAAAATAAAATAAATAAATTTAAAAAAAAAAGATGAATGTGTTATAGTATTGATTTAACAGCATTGTCTCACAAAGTTCAACAAAAAGTGCATACCGAAAAAAAGAAAAATCACCCTTTTTCTGTAAAACAAAATCATAATCCCTCATTTTTTTCATCAGAATGTCTTCAGCATTCTACATAAAACACACCACAACATCATTTTATGAGCACATTTAGATTTTAGACCTTGAACCAAAACAACCGATAAAACCCTTAAAAATGTAATAAAACCCCATAAATATTGTGGCAGTACCATAGTACAGTGATGACACCAAATACTAGGGCTGCACAATTAATCGAATTTCTAATCGCGATTACAATTATGGAATACATATCATGATACTGAATGATTACCACAACATTCATATAAAAATGTCCAAAGTACTAACCTAACCCTAAACCAAAGTATCAACATTTTTCCAAATGCCAAAAATAATAAAAAGGTTTGACCATATTCTTTAATATTTTAATAGGTTGAAGTTTGAATAACTTGTGTACAAAATTTCAATGGTAAAATAAAAATAATTTTGTAGTAACTAATGGTAATTTGGCAGAAAATACAGGAATAAGGGCATCTGGTTTTCACGGAATAGTTTCTGAAATGTTTCTTTCAGGTCTACAATTGACTTATTTATCATACATTAAATGCTAGCCTTAATATTCAACTTAACAGGAAATGTGCTTCAAAGTCCTCTAATAAGCTTACTGAAAAAGCTCCAAAAACATCTGAAAAACATTAAAGTATCAAACACCAACAGGGCAAAGCAGCTTGACTCTCAGCTGGACAAGCGGTTCACTAATTCATGGGCACATTTCTTACCGTCATTTGGGATCCAGAGAACAACAAATGTGTGCTTTTCTCATGCATTTTTTAAGTGATTCTTCTGTAGTCAAGGACAGCGCAGAAAAAAGCGCTCTAATCCGATCGCGGTCAATAACTCGGGTCAAAAAAGTATGATCAAAGTAGTGAAAGAAAGAAGAAAAAAAGACAACCTCCTTACACTTCAAAGCTCTTGACCATGAGAAATTCTCACAGAATGTTATACAACTCATGCCATCCTGTTTAAGAAGGTGCTAAATTGAGTCTGTGTGTGTCTCAGCGTACAAAAAAACCCACACATTTCATTCACACAATAATATTTAAAAGTCGGCGCAAGATAAATAAACCCAAGCATACCTGGAAAGCTTGTTTTATCTTCTTGAGCAATTATCCAGTTAAGTGCCTACTTGATAAGTCCATTAAAATTTTGCTATCAAAATTTCTGATTCTCATGCAATCCAAGACCGTTTCATGCAAGATATCAGGCTTTTATTGTACTACGGTTGACTTCATAGTTGAGGACTGGAGGAGAGATTGGAGGAGAAAAAAAATAGAGATTGAGAACGGAGGTGTACCCCTCGAAAAAGAAAACGGTGGTGGGCAGAAATAAAAACAAAAAGATCAAACAGAAAAAGAGAACAGAGTCTGGCCACATGGTCTTGGATTAGCAACTCCCACTGTCAATGTCACTTGGAAAAGAAAATCTATGGACCCTCAAAAGATTATGATTTTATTCATAACGCTGCCCCTTTCAAAGTACCACAGCCTAGAGTAAATTACCCTTCATAAAAGTTTGTTCCTTATGATTTTAGGTGCAGTAAACAACCTTTATCAATCCGGAAATATAATAAGGTTAAACTAGGTCTAGTAAACACAAATGAAGTCTTAATACACTGACAAGAAAGAACATTTAGTTAATGAAAAAGAAAAGAAAATGTAAAAATCCAGCTGTCAGACATGACATTATTACATGAGGCATTCTTATTGAAATAAAAAAATAAAATTATGTAAAATAAATTTAAATAAAATTTCAATCTAGCATTCAGACTCTCTTACCTGAGGCATTCTGATTGAAATAAAATATAAAAAATAAAAAAAGTCTATCTTACCTGAGGCATAATGATTGAATTAAAATAAATTCAATAAAAAAAGGACTCTCTTACCTGAGGCATAATGATTGAATGAATTAAAATAAAAAATTTAATTAAATTAAATAATTAAAGTCAGATACTCTTAGGCATTCTGATTGAAATAAAATATACAAATAAAAATAAAGTCTATCTTACCTGAGGCATGATGATTAAATTAATTAAAATAAAAAATGAAATTAAATAATTAAAGTCAGACGCTCTTAGTAGTGTTGTCACTGTACCAAAATTTCAGTATTCGGTACCGATACCAGTAAAAATCCACAGTTCTCGGTACCAATTTCGGTACCAAAGCAAAACACAAAAACATGCTAATTGAACAACATTTTTATTAATAACGTTAAGTGGGAATCGTTTTTCAACCCGCGGACATGAAAAACAACCCACTGCAACAGTGTTAAGCAGCCCAATTCCGCGGGAAAACCGCGGACTTGGCAACACTGGAAGAGGATAGCTTTCGTTTAGCGCATCAAGAACCGGGTTGACCGGGTACTCGGTACCACCGGTACTTAAAAAAACCTGGTACCGTAACGTTTTCATTTTTTTAGTACCGACTTGGTACCGAAATACCGGGTCTTTTGACAACACTAGCTCTTAGGTATTCTGATTGAAAAATAAAATAAAATTAAATTATTCTAGCTGTCAAACGTACTTTATGCAGTCTGATTGAAAAAGGAGATTAAATAAAAGCCAAAATGCTAACTGGTTATCAAGAGTTTCTCTTGAAGTCTTGTTTCACATTTTTATGCCAACCCCTCAGAGGATGTCAGATGATGCCAACCCTGAAACAACATACAGAACTACCACATTTTGCTAGAAGTTTGATTGCATCATATAATAATTGCTGTTAATAGTGTTCATCATCTGTTTAATTACGTCTTTAATTGATTTTTCCGTACATTTCTGCCATATGTACATTAACTGACAGTCACCACTGATAAGCTACCACTAAATATTGTAGAAAATTAATTTGCTGTAAAGTTGCTTTGCAACGATTTGTATCGTGAAAAGTGCTATACAAATAAACTTGAATTGAATAGAATGTTTGGCTGTAATCTATAGTTTTTTGGTTCACACTTTGGTCCCAAATTCTACATTATTACTATTTTAATCCAGTGTCTTTTATCACACCTCCCATGAACAGAGTCGTTTTTTTGTAGGACTTGTTTTAGGTAAACCACATACGGATGGCTAGAAAGGTCTTGTCCATTCCACTGCCGTCGAGGATTCTGAGAGCAAACACTCAGAAAGCTGCACAAGGGACTTGCACCATGTCACGATATGTCACACATCGGCTCTGATTCAACACTGGCAGACTTTCTGTCATACGCTGTTGTCTTAGAGTGCGTCTGCTATAAAGTATTCTGCGAGAAATCTCGGCATCACCTCAAAGCTCTTCGGGACATGACAGCAAAACCGCACAGACAAACTTCTGAATTCCAGTTTGTCCATGTCAAAGATATATCCCTGGAATATAACACATTTTAGGTCTATGTAAAATGAAACAATCAGTCACTTTGTTCATGGTGATCCACTTTTAGCTCTACGCTGATCGTATCTCTTTGCTAAAGATTCACCAACATTTAATGCTTTTGAGCCATGCAAATCATAATGTTTACACTCCACAAAAATGTTGCAATGTTTGAAAGCTGTTGTGAACCCTCCTGCCCCTTATAAACCACATCTGAACAACATGCATTGATGTCTGACTAGCGGCGCCCTACACTTGACCTCTGCAGTCAGATAAAAACTAATCTTTTTATCCTGTTAAATGAAGATGATTTCACTTTTTTCATATTAATCAACTAACCTTAAGCAACAATAACCATCTGAGTCACATATATACCACATAACATATATAGAAGGTGCACAGTGTCATTCACACAAACGCTAAACACCATCATGGTAACACACGAAACTGAAATAATGCAATAAACATTCATTTAACAACATTAGGTGTAACACACAACCCTAATAAAAAACATCAAATTTGAAATGTAACGCCGGGAATTCTGGGAATGTCAATTTACGGTTATTCACTGTAAATTATACGGTATTTTTCACTTCCAAAAACGGTATACTACTGTAAAATGTATGTCCAATACATGTAATGTCCAATACAGTTTTTCACCGTATATAGTAGGGGAATTTACCGTTAACCATTTAACAGGTTTTTACTGTAGCATTTTTACAGTTTTTTACTGTTAAATCCACGGTCATTTTTTACAGTGTATAAGCGGACCTTGTGATCAGATCACCCGAGACAGATCTTAAAATGAGAAGATATAAAGAGGGCCAAAAGGGGTCACTACTGAAGTTAGCCAATCATTAAAAACACATCCTAAGAAGCTTACGGAAAATGAGCCAAAGTACAAAAACAAAGTTAAAACTTAGAATGATTAAAATGCAGCAGCAAAGTATAATTTAGTCAGAAACATTAACAGTGCAGCTCAAGAATGTAAAACATGCACCTGAAAATCAAGTTTTAGGTTAAATTAGGCTTATATATACATACACTACCCGTCAAAAAAGTTCTGGGTCAGTATGATTTTTAATTTTCTTTTTTTTTTCAATCGGTTTCCAAAAATAAATCTCTCTTCAAGGCTGTATTAATATGATTAAAAATACAGCAAAAACAGTAATACTGTGAAATATTATTAGAAAATTACTTTTTATTTTAATATTTGAAAATGTAATTTATTCCTGTGATGCAAAGCATTCAGAAATTATTCTAATTAAGGTCAAAAACTAATATTTTTCTGTAAACCATGATACATTTATTTCAGGATTCTTTGATTGACAGCATTTATTGGAAAAAATAGATTTTTGTAACATTGTAAATGTATATACTCAAAAACAAAACATTCTGAAAGAATTCAAATTAATGTAGTTTAAAGTATTTTACTGGTGGACGATCCTGTCACATCTTGACTGACATGTCAGCTACCCCAACAGACATTTATGTTGGGTTTAAGACAATCATTAATTAAACATTTAATTACAAGTTCTGTCAGCAGTTTGTTAGCAAGTTCGGTCCTAGAGAGCCGCAGTCCTGCAGAGTTCAGCTCCAACCCTAATCAGACACACCTGAACAAGCTAATCAATGTCTTCAGGATTACTAAGGCTATAGGCAGGTGAGTATTTTTTTCAGGGTTGGAGCTGAACTCTGCAGGACTGCGGCTCTCTAGGACCGAACTTGCCTACCCCTGGTCTAGAGTGAAAAAAAAATGCATTAAACATGCACAGGCTCAAGAAAGTGATTTCCCCACCAAAATAACAAATAAAACACCAGCATAGCAAATGAGAACGTTACACATCAACCAACAAAGCTTATACATATTTTCTTTTGCAGTTTCATGAAGCTCAGCTAAACTTTTAAATACTGCAAAAAGACATGAAATGCATTTACTTAAAGTAATAACTGACACAAATGAGAAGTCGTTCATTTATATCACATTCTTTAGTGGAATACAAAAGTGGAAGCCACGATGACAGTCTCAGTCCCCATTCACTTTCATTGTATGGCATAACGATGCTATTAAAGTGAATGGTGACTGAGGCTGTCAGTCCCTTACAATCTGCCTAACATCTCCTTTTAAGTTCATTTGAAGAAAGAATGTCATACACGTTTAGAAGAACGTGAGAATGAGTAAATTATTTTTGGGGTAACTATCCCTTTAAATCACGCCGCTGGATGCAAACCAAAATAAAACATTGAAAGTACACACTCCACTACAGATCACAACAGCGTTAGTGGCTAACCATATCCATATAAATCAAGACATCACTCGCTACAGCCTTATAAAACACGATCTAGTTCATTTCAGTCATTTATTAATAATGAAATAAAACCCATAAACCGAGCGAGGACACGCGAGGAAGAAAGAATCCAGGCAGCCATGACTTCATACTGACACATCAATGAAGAGATCCGAGCGTGTGTTTGTGTGCGCGTGTGAGCGCATGTGTTTTAAATCGCACTCACCCAGAACCACCGGGAACGAGGATCACCTCTGGGTCATGATGAGAGTGCTAGGATCGCGGACAAAAAGACGCAGGCTCAGCTCGTGTGTAACGTTACTGCTGACAGAAGATGAGTGTGTGTAAATGTGCCAGACCGCTCAGATCTACCGCAGCATGTACAGGAAGTGATGCAGAGGATATGAGGTCACTGTAGAACTGCGTCAGGTGCGTGTGAGCGCGCGCTACAGGCCCATCTGGCATCAAACCAGACCGCGTATTGCTTTTAATAAATACGCAAAAAGGCTATTAGTGCATTTAATACTATTAGTTTGTGAAAAGTACCTTTTACATTTTTTCTGTTTTATGAATTGTTTTGACTCGTAACTGTTTCAGTTTAGGGTTATTTTGAGTATGCTTTAGTGCTCATTTACATTTTACAGTATTTGACTACACAGAAATGGACTTAATATTGGAGCAAAACATGTGACAACTTGCCCTAGGTCTTCTCTTTTACATTCTGATTATTATCAATAATCTCATGAAGTATTGAGAGGTGAGATGATGTGAGGAGATCTATTTTCAATATTTTTTTATATCTCAGTATCAATCTGTTCGATTGAGGGTTGATTTGACCGCATTATTTCAAAGTCCTGAGAAATGTTGCAATAATTCTTCTGTGTGACATTCAGGATATGACGTCGCCACAGAGCCATGTGACTGCCCTAAATTAATCCTTACTGACGCTGAGAGAGAGTGACCCTAAGAATGATCTAATCATACATGCATACTGATAAAACAGTGATAGGGCTTTATTATATTCAGATAACAACATACAAGTAGATAGATTGCCAAACCTTCCTCTTTTTCCATAAATGTGGTCATCTCTACTTCATAGATTAGTTTACTGTCCGCAAGCCTACATTTAAAGAGTTACAGCAATACACTATCTGCCTTAAAATCAATATGATGTGCAACATGTGATAAGTGAAAGTGATGAGTAGTGAAATCATGTAGTGATATAAGAAGCTGTATTGTTTTACTGAGGGATTGTATTACATAAGAATGAGCTGTCTAGCTATTTGTCCATGTTTCATCTATTTGTCAGTTCAATGGTCAATCTAAACTTTCAGACTGTTTCAGACACACCTTTCTGGCTGTTTTGAAAGTCAAAATGAGGTTTAACTAGTAACTGCTCTTCTATAATTTACATTGAGGACGTGATGTGACTGCCTGTTATTATCAGTGACTGAATACATTAAATGTTCATCTGATGTTCCTGACATGATGTTGGAGAGCTTGTGTGTTTGTAGGATGTGATAAAACGACAAGCTTTGAAACAAACCATTCCTTCAAAACCACACAGGAAACGGAAGAACTTTTCTCGAGTAAAAAGCAGAAATGGAGTATATCAGAAAGGGCCTGAATTTAAATTTGAACTCATGCAACCTCGTTCTGCCCCCTCGCAGCAAGTTCAAGATGACGTACATGTCAATCCAAAAGAAAAACAAGAGAACCTCGCACACAACCGCAGGTTCAGATGTTCTAATCCGTGCTTCGAGTCAGATGTGCAAACAGAATTCCACCTATTTAAACAAAACGGACAGTTTGCTTTCATTTCTCCACGATCAAGGGGGGAGAGGATTAGCTACAATCTCAGGCCCCGTATAGGCAGGCCGCTCGCTGACGCCCAGGTTGAGTTCAGTGACTTCAGAGAAGACCACTATCCACAGCGCGTTACGTCAGAGGCTCTGTGAAATGATGGATCAGCAGTCTGAGTTTACATCTGTGTCAGAGAGCAAACTGAAACCAGTCGTGCACAGAATCCAATGGTTAAAGATTGTGAGAACAAGATTGTTCAAACACAAAGATTGTGAGAACAAATGGAGACATTTTTTTTAATAAACTCAAGAATAATTTAAAAAATATTAGAATATTTAGAATTTTTTTGTTAAAAAAATGTAAAGTTTTTGTAGGTTATAGCTTAAAGGGATAGTTCACCCAAATAAATAAATAAAAATAAAAAATTCTTCCCCTTCCAAACAGTTTATTATCATTAACTAAAACTAAAAATATATATAAAAAAAGATTGTTGTTAACTAAAATAAAGCTGAAATAAAATATAAATATTAGAGGAAAACATAAATTACAAAAAAAAATTGAAATGTTGCCTTGGCAACTAACTAAAATAAGATTAAGTTGAAGCAAGAAAATGACTAATTGGAAATAAATCAAAACTAAACACAAATTAAACCTTAATAGTAATATTTAAAAATATGCATAACAAAATTACTTAATTTAAAATTAAAGTGAAAAGCTACGAAAAGCTAATTCAAAATATGAATAAAAGCTTTAACAGTATATAAATGATAATAAAACGACACTTTTTCCAAAAAGGAGAAGGGTGATATGTTCAAAGGCAAAACAACTTTGACTTTCATTCAATGAAAAAAAATAACAAGCCATCGTCGTTTTCTTTTGTGTTCCATAGAACAAAGAAAGATATACAGGTTTGGAACGATATGAGGCTCAGTAAATGACCATTTATATTTTTGGGTGAACTCTCTCTTTAATATCTCACATTAGCAGGTCAAATCTGCATATTTTTCAGCATGAATCTGCAGAATGGATTTAAACATGGTAAAATATAATTAAAATAGAATAATCTATAATTAAAAAAAAAACTATCATTAAAATAACCAAATTGTTTTATTTGTTTTTTAATACAAAATAAATAACTGGCCAAGTGATCAGTGAAATTAAAAAACAAAAAAAATCAGCAAGAACACACATAAGCCATCTCTACACAGATGTCAACTCTATCTCTGTCAGAACCTATAATACTCGATATACCTATATGCAAAAGACACAGAATGTGTAGAACTTTGTGAATGACAGGCATTTGTGTTCAATTCTAGCTCTGTAGATTCTGCGTGGGCCAACACATTATTCACATCCCCAACGCAAAGCCACCAGAACAAGAAATGTCCTCATGTTCTTGACATACTTTAATCAACACATTGTCTTGCTATCATGTTTTGAGGAAGTCTAATATCCATCTGTTAAACCAGACTGACTGAGATACAAAGAGCATGGGAGGCAAAGTCACAAGACAAGGCAGGCCAAGTCTGGATACCAGCGAAGATGCTGAAAATACTCGCAGTCTCGTCTACACCTTATCTCGGGCTGCTGGGCTGTGTCCAGTCTGGCTAACCATCAAAATAAAGGAAGTGACCTCCCGACCTGGCGAGCATGCAAAAGGGTGATATTGTTTTTATTAGGGCAGTCAATGTGACACCTCCCTTCATTTGTCAGTGTTCCATATCGTCTATGAAAATGCCAGGTCCGATAAGGTTTTCAGAGCCATCCCATTAATCAACAGCATGGTTCTGGAGAGGAAAGGGGACAACAATGGAAAAAGTCGTCAACGTGAATGACAGGGAAGTACCGGGAGCCGTAGTCGCCATGAGGGAAGGATACAAGAGTAGATCAGCCTTCTAAAGTTGGTAACAATAGGTACTGTATGAGAAAAACTGTCACAACCTCTCCTTTGCTTTGCAAGTAAACTCAAAACTGTGCTTGACCATCCAAGTTCCATAAAAAAAGCATGTTGGTGATATCAACAATGACAAATAGCTTTACACTCAGTATATGAACATGACATTCAGTTTTACACTGCTTTATTAAACTTCAAATACACTCAAATCATGTTAATGCATGATCATTCAACCGAGTGGCACCGGGTTTAGTTGTCTGATTATGTGGATGCCAGCTTTTCCGCTTGCTGTGCGCGGTTACAGAAGCAGACGTGAGAACCAGGTCTGCCGGTTGACTTTGAAATCGAACCTGCTGGCCACTCCTGAAGAGGGAACGCCTCTGCTTTCTGCAGATCTTCAGGAGCTTCCTCTACTGGGATCCACCGCGTTTTTGTTTCTTCAAAGTCCCACTTCATAAATCACGGGGGAAAAAAAA